TTCAAATTTGAAATACCCAATCCCACTGGCTTTGACGTTCTTCACTTTCCCTGGGGGTAACTTGTATTCTGGACTTCCGGACCCTGAGCCCCCTGTCTTGACAGAGTCCGTTGTGCGTTTCCCTGGTTCCTGCAGCAATCGGTAGTCCTAATCCCCGGTCGTTTACAGTAGTAACACTTCAACAGTCTCGGTCTCGTACAGTCCCTGGCGAAATGTCCTGTGGCGTCACAGTTCCAACAAACTATCGGTGCTCTTATTCTGTGATTCGTATCCTCTGTGGTCCGGGGTCTATCGTTTGTGTTACGTTCGGGGTTGTCTTTCATCCAGGACACTCTCGCTCGTTCTACATTGCGTTCATAAGTTCGATGGGACCCGTTGCCCTGTTGTGAGCTTCCGGGCTTTAAGGTGCCTTCTCCGTTCATCCAAGCGAACTTTGGGCGTCCTTCGGAGCGTTCGTAGGTCTGATGGCCCCACTTGTCGTTTAGGGTACCGCCGGCTTGTACGGCTGCTTCCTTGGACGATACACTTTTGCCATCAATGGCACTTAGGACCGCGGCCTCGTGTCGATAATCCTTGTTCCGCTTATACTTGTACGCCGTCTCGGGTACTAGTGAACGGGAAGCATCCGGTGGTGGCTGGTAACTTTTGGAGTCTTGGACGAGCGTTTCGTACTCGTTCGCCAGCCGCTGAAGTCCCGGCAGATCAACGAAGTCGCTTCTTCGAGCGTATGCCTTGTACTCAGGGCGCATGTTTCGGTATATACGTTCAACCATCTCCCGCTGCAAGTAGCCTCCTCGCCTTCTCATGAGCGTACCAATCGCTAGGAAATAATTTTTGAAACTTTCATTCGGTCCTTGTGTACGCATCCTGATCTCGTCATCGAGCTTGATATCGTACCCTGCCGGCCAGAACTGACTGATAAAATCTTGCTTAAAGTCTTCTAGTGATCTCCACGAATCTTTATTCATCCTGTACCACAGTAGGGCTTGGTCCTTGAATAACTCTGGCAGTGCTCTGAGCATATCATCCGGGTACAACTGGTAGGCCTCCATAAGTTCCGTCATCCTTTCTACAAAGGATATGGCGTCCCTTTCGCCATCAAAACGTAGGTTCCATTTGCGAACCAAGCCGCATATGTCCGTATCTCGGCCGTTCCTTCCCTGTGGTGGGTTCTGCGGCATCTGAGCAGGTTGTTCGACTCGCGCGATAGGTCGTGGCTCTAGGTTTGCCCACACCGGAAAAGTATCTCGAGTTCCGGCTAGCCTGGGGTTTGAGCCCATCTGATAATGCTGTCCAATTCGTTCCCCAACTCGTGGTTCGGGGCTATGTGGTTGGATCTTAACTGCCTCTGGCCCACTCGTCATTGCCTTTCTGAGCTGCGATATCAATGTCCTCGTGTCAGCTTCGTATTCGAGCCCCAGCAACTCACGTATTATGCTGGCCTCAACTTCCCTGTCTTCCGACTTTTGTTGTCTATCGGCAAGGATTTGACTAGATTCTGCGCCTTCGCTCGGGTCTAGTTGGGTTTTTGGCAAGTTTGCCCACACGACAGATACAAGTCGGCTTCTAAGTTCATCGACGGTTCCATCTGTCGAAATTCCATACGTAGCGAGTTCGGCTTGTAGCTCCGACTTTACCAGTCTGTACACCCATCCTACTCTTGTATTACTTTATTCATTTATTCATGTAAATTGTCACAAATTACACCATATACAGAGGAGTTTCCTCAATGGTAGATGACATGTCAAAAATATGATACAAAAATGTTAAAAACTAAATTAATGTAACTTAAACATAATGAGAAAACAAACTCTCCACATGAACCATTTTACAAACCACTATTACTATATAAAATGAAATCCTCTACTGAATAAAACATATGGCTCTTTAGATAGTTAACAAGTTTTCTTTTAAATGCTTTGGCAGAAGATTCATTGCGAATATGAGAAGGTAGTTTATTAAATAATCGGCTGCCTGTATAGAATGGTGTCTTTTCAAAAGCTGCTGTTCGATGTATCGGCAAAGAAAGATTACAATTACGTGTAGGATAGTTATGTGTAGATTTTAAAAGAGTGAATTTGTGAAAATTTTCTTTAACAAATAGAAGGGTATGTAGAATGAAAATGCAAGGTAAAGGCAGAATATCTAGTTTCCTGAAAATTGGTTTGGATGATGCAGTATAGGGGGAATTTGTCATAGCACGGACAATGCTTTTCTGAATCTTAAATATTGCTGGAGAAGACTGTGAGTTGCCCCAAAATATCACTCCATATGTTAAGTTTGAATAGATATATGCATAGTAAACCATTTTCAAAATGTTTATCTCCAGGATTTTTGATAAGTTTAGAATTAGAAAATGACCTTTATGGAGAATTTTTGACCCATTTTTGGAGAATTCTTTGGTCCGTTATTTCTCCTCCTGGTATTTGAGTGGGTGGCAAGGGGAGTGACAAGTGTGTGGTCGTCATTACAGCTTCTACTGATGTCGGAACGGTTGTCGTTATCATTGTAGCATCAGTCGATGGTGGGGTCGTGTCTTTACTAAGGTTAGTAGTCGTGGACGGTGTCTTCGTAACCGCTGTCGTTCTCGTTTGAGCCGGTGGTCTGCTATCCTTACTTAATTTCGGGGGATCGATGATGTATCGGTTTCCCGTTGCTGTCGTAATCCATCTCCAGTTCTTCAGCGTGGGGCAAAGGAAAAAAGGCAACACGTTGTCAAACATGTTGGAAAGTAGAATTCGATGTTTTCGGGCGCCAGCCAAAAGGCAAAGTTGTCAAATGTTCTAAACAATTTACAATGAAGGGTCCCTGTTCGGGCGCCAAAATGTGACCGTGTTTTCGGTGGAGTGTACGGAATATCTCAATCGGTGCCCAAAATAAGTCAGCCTGCACGGGTTTCCGAACTTCCAGGGGTCAAGCGAGGTCTTTACCTAAACACGGTCGCAATGGTTTCCAAAACGATGAAGCGACGAGCTAGTGTCGAGGGGTCGTGCCTCGATCGCTAGTAACGAATAACGGCGAATACGGTCGGTCAAGTGACCCGGGGTGTCAGGGTAGCGGCCCTGGTTCCCAAAACGATGAAATGACGAGCTAGTGTCGAGGGGTCGTGCCTCGACCGCTAGTAACGAATAACGGCGAATACGGTCGGTCAAGTGACCCAGGGTGGCAGGGTAACGGCCCTGGTTCCCAAAACGAAGAAACGAGGAACGCCGAATACGGTCGGTCAAGTGACCCGGGGTGTCAAGGTAACGGCCCTGGTTCCCAAAACGAAGAATCGAAGAACGGCGAATACGGTCGGTCAAGTGACCCGGGGTGTCAGGGTAGCGGCCCTGGTTCCCAAAACGAAGAATCGAAGAACGGCGAATACGGTCGGTCAAGTGACCCGGGGTGTCAGGGTAACGGCCCTGGTTCCCAAAACGAAGAATCGAAGAACGGCGAATACGGTCGGTCAAGTGACCCGGGGTGTCAGGGTAACGGCCCTGGTTCCCAAAACGAAGAATCGAAGAACGGCGAATACGGTCGGTCAAGTGACCCGGGGTGTCAGGGTAGCGGCCCTGGTTCCCAAAACGAAGAAACGAGGAACGGCGAATACGGTCGGTCAAGTGACCCGGGGTGTCAGGGTAGTGGCCCTGGTTCCCAAAACGATGAAACAGCGAGCTAGCGTCGAGGGATCGTACCTAGATCGCTAGTAACGAAGAACGGCAAATACGGTCGGTCAAGTGACCCGGGGTGTCAGGGTAACGGCCCTGGTTCCCAAAACTATGAAAGTCGACCAAGTAACTCGGGGTGTCAGAGTATCGGCCCTGGTTCCCAAAACGATGAAGCGACGAAAAACGTATACGGTCGGTCAAGTGACCCGGGGTGGCAGGGTAACGGCCCTGGTTCCCAAAACTATGAAAGTCGATCAAGTAACTCGGGGTGTCAGAGTATCGGCCCTGGTTCCCAAAACGATGAAGCGACGAATAACGTATACGGTCGGTCAAGCGACCCGGGGGTGGCAGGGTAACGGCCCTGGTTCCCAAAACTATGAAAGTCGATCAAGTAACTCGGGGTGTCAGGGTAGCGACCCTGGTTCCCAAAACTATGAAAGTCGATCAAGTAACTCGGGGTGTCAGGGTAGCGACCCTGGTTCCCAAAACTATGAAAGTCGATCAAGTAACTCGGGGTGTCAGGGTAGCGACCCTGGTTCCCAATACGATTAAAGCTGACTAAGCGACGCTGGGTGTCAGGGGAGCGACCCTGGTTCCCAATACGATTAAAGCTTAAAGGGCTAACCTCTAGTGATAGTGGCTCTATGACTAGCTACAAATAAAATCGATGAAGTGACCCTGGGTGTCAGAGGAGCGACCCTGGTTCCCAGAATAACTTAAAACTGCAAATAACCTCTATGCAAAACTAAAATGCAAACAAAAGTATACTCTCCTATTAATTAACGAAAACGAAATAATCCTTAAAGCAACGATCGAATGTCGCCGTCCAAACGAAGGTATGAGCGGTAAAGCGTAGCTACAGTGTTACTAACGTCTAACTAAAAGGTATACTGCACTCACCGGGGAGGATGTGACTAACTCGGCTGGTAGCTGGGACGAGACTGAGCAACTGAGCTCTCCGTTGCCGCTCGCTCTTGCCTTCCCCCACCCCGCTCGTGGCCCGACACTAGCGCCTGGCGCGGCAGCGGCCGTTCCGAGAATCTTCCGGGATGAGGAGGGGTCAACGTTTGCTCAGCCCAGTACTTTTCCACTCCGTTCATTACTACTTTCATTATCCAAAACAAATAAAACGATCTTCTCTCCTTGTTTAATACGCATTTATTTTGTATAAGGTCAAAATTTTGAGGTGTCAATTTTTGACCGTTACAAGTGTGCTACATAAAGAAGATCGGTTTTTTTTACGCATCCTGTATAGTTTTAGAATTTTCATCAACTAGTAGGGCTTGTTAAAATACTGTGTAATCATTATTTCACCTAAATTATGTGTTAATATAGTATGATCTTTTTCAGAAGTATCGATAGATGAGCCCAGTATTCATGTAACTGCAAGACATTTAACAAGTCCTACAAAAAAAGGAAATTCAAAAATAGAGGTACTAGGCTTATTGATTAGTTGACCCTTCTGATTATCATGGCATAAGATTATCTAAAAAGTTTCACAAGAACATAAAGTGAAAGGTTACAAATGTTAAAACAGACTGAAAAGGCTAAGTGTCCAATATGTGGAAAAGTTATTTCAGGTCCAAGAAATATGAAGTATCATATATTTTGTCACACGGGCGAGCGGCCCTTTAAATGTTTGACATGTGACAAAACATTCTTCTACCAATATCAAGTAAAGAGTCATGTGTTGACACACTCAGAAAAGTGTCCTTATAAGTGCAGTTTATGTGGAAAAGGCTTTACATCCAAAAGAAATTTAAGGTCACATACATTGTTTATTCATACAGAAAGGAACCGATATAAGTGCACAACATGTGGAAAGTCATTTGTATTCAAATGCAATTTGAAGTCACATACACGGGTTCATACAGAAGAAAGACCTTATAAGTGCACTATATGTGGAATAACCTTTGTATACAAAAGATATTTGAATTCACATACACGGGTCCATACAGGAAAAAGACCTTATGAGTGCACTACATGTGGAAAATCATTTTTATGCAAAAGCCATTTGGAGTCACATACAAAGGTTCATACAGGAGAGAGACCTTATAAGTGCACTACTTGTGGAAAAGCCTTTTCATTCCAAGGCCATTTGAAGTTACATTCAAGGATTCATACCAAAGAGAGACCTTATAAGTGCACTACATGTGGAAAATCCTTTTCATTCCCAGGCGGTTTGACGTCACATACACGGGTCCATTCAGAAGAGAGACCTTATACAGGGTGTTTTTTTAAAAACTTGCATCTTTATTTATGTAAAAACCGCAATAGATAGAAATATGCAGTTTGCAGGAATCATCTATTGACGTAGGGGGACCTATTGTTTTGAATTCAACGTTACATTCACATTCCCCCCCTTTCCCCCCCTGCCCCCAACTTAATTTTTTTAAAAAGCAAGGTACCCCTTGTGACATATAAAATAAAAGAGCATGAAAAAAGAAAATGTTTGATGAAAAAAAATTGAAAATCGGTTCATAAATTTGTGAGATATTCCCCCCCTTACCCCCCGGAACTTAATTTTTTTTTAATAGCAAAGTACCCCTTGTGACATATCAAATGAAAGAGCATAAAAAAAGAAAAATTTTGGTGAAATTTATTTTTCATTTGATATGTCACAAGGGCGGGTACCTTGCTATTAAAAAAAACAAGTTATGGGTAGGGGAAAAGGGGGGTGATTATCTCACAAATTCATAAGCCGATTTTAATTTTTTTTTCACCAAAAATTTTCTTTTTTCATGCTCTTTCATTTGATATGTCACAAGGGGTACTTTGCTATTAAAAAAAAATAAGTTCCGGGGGGGTGAGGGGGGGAATATCTCACAAATTTATGAACCGATTTTCAATTTTTTTTCATCAAAAATTTTCTTTTTTTATGCTCTTTTATTTGATATGTCACAAGGGGTACCTTGCTATTTAAAAAAAATAAGTTGGGGGCAGGGGGGGAAAGGGGGGGAATGTGAATGTAACGTTGAATTCAAAACAATTGGTCCCCCTACGTCAATAGATGATTCCCGCAAACTGCATATTTCTATCTATTGCGGTTTTTACATAAATAAAGATGCAAGTTTTTAAAAAAACACCCTGTATATGCACTACATGTGGAAAGTCCTTTCCATCCAAAAGCCATTTGAAGAAACACACACAAGTCCATACAGGAGTGAGACCTTATAAGTGCACTAAATGTGAAAAATCCTTTACAACCAGAAGAAATTTGAATTGTCATACTCGAGTCCATACAGGAGAGGGACCTTATGAGTGCACTAAATGTGAAAAATTCTTTGTACACAAACACAATTTGAAGACACATACTCGGGTTCATGAAAAAGAGAAATGTCATATTTGTACTACATGTGGAAAGTCATTTCATCACAAAATAGGTTTGAACTCACATATACTGACCCATACAGGAGATAAACCTCATAAGTGTTCTAATTGTGGAATGTCCTTTTCACTCCAAAGCAATTTGATACGACACACACAAGACGTCCATACAGGAGAGAGATCTTTTATATGCGGTAAATGTGGAAAATCCTTTACATCCAAAGCCAATTTGAAGTCCCATACATGGGTCCACATAAAAGAGAAACCTTATAAATGCACTACATGTGGAAAATCATTTGCATCAAAAAGCATTTTGACGAAACATACACAGGTTCATACATGAATGAAACCTTGCAATAGCAAACTATGTGTGAGAAATCTTAAACGTCATAAAGAAATTATAACAGACATTGTTTGAATTCATAGCAATAAACTTTGTTACAAGTGTGGAAAATCTTTTCCTTTCAAAATATACAAAATGATAATAATGGTTTAATTTACCTCTGTCAATATGGTCCTAGCGTAGTTTGTCACTACTGCAGTTTCGTGCTCGTGGAGCACATCATCAGGTGAAGGTCACAAAAAGTTAAAACATTTTCCTTACGTGAAGGTCGTCAATTTAACACACTGAAAAAACACATAACACACGAACGGTACAAAAAAACATTTAAACTTGGCCAATACATTAAAGACGTTACACACGGGGTCCGGCGCCGGTAGAAGGCAAGTCATGACTGACGTGTGTTGTAGTCGGTAGCCCCCCGTCCTCACTTCTCTTATCAGAACCTTTTCTTTGGTCTTGTTCCAGGATGTGAATGGCGGTATTATAAATAATGTTTGACTGGAATGAGAGTTGTTCGTTTAAAATATGGTTTGGATGTACTTTAGCTGCTCGGTAAATCTCAAATTCTTCGATGGTGTCCATGTATTTACTTTTATGACAAGTATGCATTACTTCTAAATTTGTTTGTATATCGGTATAACTATGGTTTGAATCAATGATATGGTTGGCAAAAGCTGATTTGGAGTTCTTTCTTGGTAAATGTTCATTAAATCTAGTTGCAAAAGAGCGTGATGTTTGCCCAATATAAAAACTGGGGCAATCATTACATGTTATTTTATACACTCCAGTGTTGTTTAATTTGTCGCTATTGCGACATATGACAATAAAAGTAGTCATAAAAGTAAATACATGGACACCATCGAAGAATTTGAGATTTACCGAGCAGCTAAAGTACATCCAAACCATATTTTAAACGAACAACTCTCATTCCAGTCAAACATTATTTATAATACCGCCATTCACATCCTGGAACAAGACCAAAGAAAAGGTTCTGATAAGAGAAGTGAGGACGGGGGGGCTACCGACTACAACACACGTCAGTCATGACTTGCCTTCTACCGGCGCCGGACCCCGTGTGTAATGTCTTTAAAGTATTGGCCAAGTTTAAATGTTTTTTCGTACCGTTTGTGTGTTATGTGTTTTTTCGGTGTGTTAAATTGAAGACCTTCACGTAAGGAAAATGTTTTAACTTTTTGTGACCTTCACCTGATGATGTGCTCCACGAGCACGAAACTGCAGTAGTGACAAACTACGCTAGGACCATATTGACAGAGGTAAATTAAACCATTATTATTGTTGCTGTATGGTCCAGAGGCTACCCATCATGAAATACAAAATGACTCCCAAAACTTTATTTAAGATTATACTTTTCAGTTGCGTGACCAAATCCTAATTCTATTCATATCTCTTATATTAATACGTGAGGGCTATTTTTGTGAACAAAACTCCTCAGTTATTTCTGGACCGATTTTACCGTTTGAGGTGTCAAATAATTCGTCTCACTTTGGCTAACAATTGTTGTTTTATTTCTGGTGGAGTGGGCCTCAAATTACCATCCAGCCGAGGGCCTCCAATCAAACCAGACCGGGCCTGACAACCTACACTGATCGTCCGTAATGACGTCATCAAAATGGCGGCCGTAAGAGGATGCTGGGTCCGCATGAATTGGCTATAGCGACCAAATGCCTGAACCGATTTTCATGAAATTTGGCACACAAGTGCTTGAATACATTATCTTGGCCTGGGTTGAAAATGGTCAAGTTACATGAAGTCATTTCAAAATGGCGGCTATTCAAAACTAAAAAAATATGTGGAAAATAATTGTGAATTGTTTTATACATCAGGGTGAGTTTTAAATGAGTTCCCACCCTACTTTTTTATACATTTCTTAAGATATCAACTCCGAACCACGTCAGATCATTGTAGAGTAGCAAGTACTTCATTTTGACTGGGTTTAAATTTTTGGCCGCCATCTTGGATCCGCCAATTGGATACAAAGTTATTTTTCAAATATAAAGATAGGGTTGTGACCCACCGTTTCAAACAAAACGTTTACGCTGAATACGATGCTGCAATCCGTTTTATAAAATGTTGATCCATTCTAAAGTTATAAGAACATTTTATAACTTTATTTTTAGTCCATTATAACATTGTGCATTTACAAACTAAGGCCATAATCTCAAAATAGTGCTAGATAAAGATAAGTGGACACCACCATTCATTGTTGACTTATTTTCACTTGGTTATGACGGATGTATTTTTTTCAGCCGCCATCTTGGATCCGCCATTTTGAAATGACTTGATGAAACTTGACCATTTTCAACCCAGGCCGAGATAATGTATTCAAGCACTTGTGTGCCAAATTTCATGAAAATCGGTTCAGGCATTCGGTCGCTATAGCCAATTCATGGGGACCCAGCATCCCCTTGTGGCTGCCATTTTGATGACGTCATTACGGACGATCGAGGTCCTTGAAAATTGGGGTCTGGGCGGTTTTAGGTTCAGAAACTTGTATACCATAACCACCTAAAATTACAGCCTCTCCGCCAGAACTGAAATATTTTCCTGCTACCCAACCTGACTATAATATTTTTTGTGTGGTAGACAGTAAGGTCTCATCAAAGGGCTAAGTTCTAAGGAGTGTAAGATCTCTGGCTAGGAGATCAATATTTTAAATCCTGTCGTTGTCAGGCCTCGCTTTAAGGTTTAATGGAAATTTACTTAGAAACTTAGATCCCATTATTTGTGTTGCTTTTTTGAGGT